CCTCGGCTTAGGCCTCCCAAAATACTCTTGAGTCAGTTTTCAATACTTGCAGTCGTTCTGCTTGATCATGGCAGATGCGACTGCTGACCCAAGAGCCTCACAAACAAGTTTTTTTCTCTTTCAAAGAAACCCCTCATCATATAGACATATTTCTCAAGCTTGGTTATCCACTGACAGGTTTCTGCAAAAATCAAAGCTTTATCGATTTTCACGAAACAAGTTAWAATAAGACATTTATGCTTTCATCTCACATGCATAAACAGGTGGCTCCTCAAAACGGGCCCCCTTCCTATCAAACATTTAGGTTGCCTTAAAGTTTCGGTCCAGCCAATTTCCATGCATTTCTGTCGGACAATTTTTCACTGACTCTCACTCATTGATTCATATGCAATCAAGGGCAAAAACCATTTGTTCAACAATCAAACAACTTACTCACAACCAATAAACAGGTACAAACATCACAGATGCAGGGGAAGTGAGTATAKTTCCATACTGTGAGAATYATCCATGACTCCCTGTTTCCACACGAGACTCATAGATCTAAATCRAGCCCGTCAATAGGGCATACTCAAACAAAAATGATCACAAAGGAAAGTCGTAACACAATATCGTGTCCCSTAGGATATATCCGTAGGTGTGATACCCACAAGGCCCCACTTGGGGTTAATAAGGTATTCTCTCTAGGAGCCCTACCAATCAAACCCCCTTGCAGAGACTGCACTACGCTCTGAATCTCGGAGCTATCATTAAAAATCGAAAGTCTTAAGTGGGTATCACCATCCGAATATCAGAGCAGTGCTTCCAAACGAAACAACGTATCTCGCAAGAGACACTCACTAACTCAATGTTCTAACCTAAAATGTCACACTCATATCAAATACACACAAATCTCACACAAAGCTCACACAAAACTCACTCAAAACTCACACAAAACTCACACAAAGCTCACACAAAACTTACACAAAGTTCACACAAAACTGGGCTCTCATGCCCAGTGCAATCTCTCAAACCCCTACTCAAGCCAACCTACTCAAGCTAGTAGTCCGTCATGTATATATAGTTTACTGAAGTATGAGTTAAGTCTGGTCACCGCTACGTACAGTACATGACTCAAACCCTGAACCCTAGAGTAAAAACTCTCAATGTACAAGTCGTGAGGCGTACATGTCCATGCCTTGAAGTCTTCATGGTAGAAGATAATATTATGGAACGTGCCCAACAACCTATCTCCCATGACAATCAACTCATCCTCATCGACCCTCTCTCTGATCTCATAGTCTGGCACCCCATGCGCCTCGTGGACATGTAATCTATCACTCATCCTCCCTCAGCTCCAGGCCTAACCTGTCATACACAACTCTCCTAGCACCATGACGTCTTGTTGGAAGACGAGCGCCACGCATATCCCTGACTAGCCCCTGTCCATCGAAMTGCACARCTCGCCTCCTGAGGTCAACCTGGAAGGCAGGGCAAACAACTCTGTCGTGCACTCCTCTATCACACCATGAGCACATATTACCAGTACTGCTGCCCTCTACCTTCGCCTTTTTAGGCTTGGGTAAGATCTGAGTCTGTGCCCTCTCGAGTCGGATTGTCACATCATGTACGGCTCTATCGACTGTATCAGGACTCAACATCCTCGAGGCTCTCTCAATCGTCGCCTCCTCGTCACATCTCTCAGACCCTGAAGAAAGAAGGTGCATTATGTCGTCCATCGDCCCCAAAACTGGAGCTGGTGTAAGCGGYAGAGTCGTCGGCAGTACTGTTGCTGACCCGCTCGTGTCCTCTTGTGGCATGACATCTCGTAGCTGTGAAACTCTCTCTCGCTCGTCATGTCTTCCACCCAATCCTCGCCATGCATCCCTCTGAACCGCCAACTCTGAGGGAGGGACCCAGTCCAAA